GCCTTCATCTCATCGAGACTTGATTACTGTAATAGCCTATTGTACGGTCTACCGATTTGTGACATCGAAAAATTCCAACGGATCCAAAACACAGCTGCCCGCTTGTTAGTCGGTGCTAAATCAAGAGACAGTATAACACCTATACTTATGAAACTTCATTGGCTCCCGGTCACAAAACGAATTCAATTCAAGATACTGTTGATAACATACAAAGCACTAAATGACATGGCTCCAACCTATCTTGTTGAACTTCTTAGTCGATATATTCCAGCACGAAACCTCCGTTCATCAAACATGAATCTACTTGAGGTCCCAACAATTCGAACTAAAACGTATGGGCAAAGAGCATTCTCCTACGCTGCACCGTATTTGTGGAATCAACTACCTGAATGCATAAAAAACGCCGAATCTGTTGACTCCTTTAAACGCTTATTGAAAACTTATCTTTTCAAAAATTAAGCCACCAGATTTTTTTTGATATCGTACGTTGTCAAATACATGTATAACACGTAATAATTCATTAGTTTAGATGGAGTAGCGTAAAATTACATGTATAGGATTTTTATTGAAATTTTATTAATTGTAATTGTAAAGCGCATAGAGTTAAATTTTAATGCGCTATATAAGAACTTATTATTAATTAATTAATTTTCAGCTTTGTAGAATGCTGACAGTGTTTTATGTTTTATACTACTGCCGACACATACACAGTGTCACCATATTTGGCAAGACTCACACTGAATACTCTCTTCACTGTTTCCACAGTCAAACTCTTCAGGTTCCAGGCATGGTTTCTCACAAACCAAACAAAAGCAAAGGGGTCTGAGACCCAACAGCACCCTTTGAACGTAACCTTTGAAAAAAATAACAAGTTTGGCAATGATATCTTTCCACAAATTTATATCAAAATCAATTTTTTCAACTAGTGGTTGACCTTTCAAAGTCCAAACTACAAAATAGGTTGTTTGGAGTCCTGTCAGAGCCATTTGGCCTTGCACTTGGAAGAAGTACTTGTGGCTTCGTTTCAGTTGCAATTTCCCGTCACATGTTTCAAGGAAGTCTGTGTTCTTGTAGCCCTCTTCTACTTTTTGATCCTTAATTGAGTATGGGCACTTGTACTCAACACAGGCATTCTGACAGCAAGAACAGGAGAACATATTGTCAGGACTTGCACCTATATATGGATGTGACTTAAGCACAAATAAACCACAGTTATGTAGTTTGGCATTTTTATGCAATTTGGCCATGCTGGTGAAGAATGCTTTGCTAGCATCTCGTTCGTGCAGTCTCCCTCACTTGATGGCTGGAATGGAGCTCAAATCCTTGGGCTCCATGAGCTTGGCCAAAAGAGGTGTAACCTTTATTTTCACCTCTTTACCTCTTTGCCGTAATAATGTCTTAACCTTGGTATAGACTTCATGAAAGTTGGAGGCAGCAATTCTTCTTTTCTCTGCTGAATCCAAACATAAGACTGTGATTGGTCTCGAGTTGCCTTTTCTAGTTCCTTTAGACTATTTTCATTAAATGACAATAACTGTGAAAATGAGTTGGCAAGCTCACTTTCCTCTTGTGAAGTGCATGTTGCTAACACTTGATCAGCTAGCTCCTGCAATGTAGGGGGGACATCTTCTTCGTTTGTGGGCGCATACGTAATGTTGAGCACAGCATCAGGAAGTGCGGTGCGGACTGAGGCGAGAAAAGAATATTTCTTTTCATTAGAAATATGTCTCATAGCCAATGGTCTTCCATCAAACTCCTGTTTTAGAATGTTATTGAGAGAGAATTGGGCAGTTGAATTCTTTAGTTTGTGAGCTTGAAAGTTCATTTCTTTAACTCTCATAGGCCTGACTTCTTTTTTGGAAGAAGAATTCCAGTAGCAAGCCACTTCAGTGCAAGATGGATTTGTTACTCCCTGTTGGTTTGCAAATTCAACTTTATAAAGTACAGCAATAATATGATTGCAGCATTTACTGTGCCCTGCTGTACAACTACAGTACCCACAAAGAGTCTCTTCTGTGGGTTTACAAGCAACCCAGACTTTATGGGGCTTCTCTCTGACTTTGGTCGATGGTGTTACCGCAGAATAAAGTAAAATGTTCCCTGTTGGCAATGTTGAGGACAAAACTTCGTGAACAAAACCACTTTTGAAGTGCGAGTAAGCCTTTCTGACTTTGTATTGACAGATATATTCAGTTGAAAAGGCCTTATTTTCTAATATGTAAGAAAAAATCTTGCCAAGATCAACCTTTGGCCAGTTCGACAGATCGTTGTTCCATTCTATCCTCTCTAAAGGATCTTGTCGAATATCAAGCGATTTAAGTAGTGCTTTGTATTCATGTTGTAAAGCTTTTGTCAAGTCTTCAGCAGAACTTTTTACTGAGACGTTTTGTTCAAACGCAACCAGAGCACGTGCTGCTAGGTCTGAATGATTTCCACTGACTGGAATAGCTCTATGTCGAAGATAGAACTTCAGTTCGTCGCACGAGAGTTCGAGGAAGTCCTTGAGGTGCTTTGCCATGAAGAATTGTTGTCTCAATTTAGTGTTCTGAGCCTGAAAAACTGTAAAAATAAACTCTGTATCTTCTTGTATTGTAGTTAATGGTTGGAGACGCTTACTATGCATGCTAACCTAGAACAAAGGACATGAAACAAAAGACCCATCGAGGCGCGTCCGCCATTTTGTTTCGAGCAATGTCCTGATTACCCATGATGCATCGTCAAGCGTGAACTCGTCTATGATGAATTCTTGAAATCTGTTGAGTGACTGTGTTTGCCGCGTAACGTGTGAGGAGACGTGCTCGAAAACAACTATTAGTACTTCCATAGACGGTAGCACAGTGTAAAAGCGAACTTTATCTTCAGTGTCAAAGAAATCCTTATTTGGAGCTTTATATCTGCTTGTCTGAAACATGTAGTCAAATTCGGAAGTTTGGCACTCGGCGTCAGCCTTGCTAGTAATAGTTTCCAGTTCGATTTCTTTACCTTCGCAAACTGCTATGGCCGCCAGATGAGAAGAAAAGGCCTCCTCATTCCCCTCGTTTCGATTTTTCTCTTCTTCTTTTCATTTGTGTACTGTACATGTTGTCTCGTTGAATGTAGCTTCGGATGCGAGGTGGGTTGCTGATTTGCGTTCAGTTGCAGCAGGTGAACCCTCGCATAACAACACCAGGCTAGTTTGTTTTGTGGGATTGGCAACCCAGACTATAGCTCATGGGCAACAAAATTTTATTTTCTGTGTGTAATGTACATGTTTTCCTGTGTTGGTTAACTCCGCCATTTGCCGGTCTCAAGCCCGGATGAGAAAGGAAGAGGGTTGGGCGTGGGGTTGGCATCCCCACCCCGTAAACAAAAGACAAAGACGGCGAAAAGCCTTGAGCACACTATTGTACATAATTTAAGATTTTATCCGGTATAGTAATGTAGTTAATAAAGGATTTAAATCTCTATTAATCGATATTCTGGTCAAGGGAACGTGAATTTTTCAGAATGCCCAAAGTTTCTCTTCGTTTAATAAGATTTTGTTCTTCTTTTACGTTTCGTTTTCACTACTACGAAGGACTATATAGAGAATATTGAAACTTAATTTTTTTTGTGTGTAATCTTTTTACAATCGCTTTATTTTGACATGTTTTTTTGGGGGGGTGTGACACGAAGTTATATCAAATTGGATATTTTTTCATTTATTATTTCGATTTTACTGCGATCCTTAAATTATTTTTTTCATTTCAAATATCATCGTGTTTATGATTTTTTACCAGATATTGATTTTGAAATCCATGCTTTACCTTTAAACGATAGACTTCTGATATTTTAAATATAAGATTACGTAAAAAAAATTGTGTTGTATTGCGGCGTGAACGTATCAGGATTGTAGAAGATAAAAGGTCCATTAGAGTAATTATTCATGAACACCAATTTTCAGCAAACCTCTTAAGTTGATGGAAATGTCAACAAGGTCGCCACATTCGCAACCTTCTTGTTAGTAGATTTCCGCTTTCCACATTAGTAAATTTATTTTTCGGCTCAGTTCAGTCGGTTCGACAGCTTTTTAATTCTCATGTTATAACTGTCATAGATCAAGGCTGGTGGATAAGTGCAGAAAATAATTATCTGTTAGCATTGTTTGTTCAAGCATTTAGCATGAGGATAGATATTTTTCCACCATCTCGGTAAAACGTTACTACTATGTTGTGTACCTAAACAAATGCAAGATAAAATGTACAGAAATACAATTCTTTGGCCACATCATAAGCTCAAGCGGCCCCAGACCAGACCCACAGAAGGTGGAAGTGGAAGCTATCGCCACCATGAACCCCTCTCCATAGGTCTTGCTGACTTACAAACCTTTCTTGGCATAAATAAATATTTTAAATGATTCTATTGTTATTATCATCATTATAGTCGTAAATTTTTAGCTTTTAGGTAATAGTTATCTAGTCGGATGCTCTAACCACTGAGCTACTGGAGACTCTATGGTGAGCAAGGGTCAATTTGTGGGCCTCGACTGGAACCGCATCGCGCGGCTACACAGCCAAGTATTGGTAAGCACCTGTGAAAACTCACTAACAGCATCACGCTGTCACATTAAGGCATATCAAGATGCGGCCAACCAACCTCCAAAGTGAGCATGTAAAGATGAAACAATTTTTAGTGTAATAGAAAAAATCCGAGCCCCAGATGGGACTTGAACCCACGACCCTCCGTGATCTAGTCGGATGCTCTAACCACTGAGCTACTGGAGACTCTATGGTGAGCAAGGGTCAATTTGTGGGCCTCGACTGGAACCGCATCGCGCGGCTACACAGCCAAGTATTGGTAAGCACCTGTGAAAACTCACTAACAGCATCACGCTGTCACATTAAGGCATATCAAGATGCGGCCAACCAACCTCCAAAGTGAGCATGTAAAGATGAAACAATTTTTAGTGTAATAGAAAAAATCCGAGCCCCAGATGGGACTTGAACCCACGACCCTCCGTGATCTAGTCGGATGCTCTAACCACTGAGCTACTGGAGACTCTATGGTGAGCAAGGGTCAATTTGTGGGCCTCGACTGGAACCGCATCGCGCGGCTACACAGCCAAGTATTGGTAAGCACCTGTGAAAACTCACTAACAGCATCACGCTGTCACATTAAGGCATATCAAGATGCGGCCAACCAACCTCCAAAGTGAGCATGTAAAGATGAAACAATTTTTAGTGTAATAGAAAAAATCCGAGCCCCAGATGGGACTTGAACCCACGACCCTCCGTGATCTAGTCGGATGCTCTAACCACTGAGCTACTGGAGACTCTATGGTGAGCAAGGGTCAATTTGTGGGCCTCGACTGGAACCGCATCGCGCGGCTACACAGCCAAGTATTGGTAAGCACCTGTGAAAACTCACTAACAGCATCACGCTGTCACATTAAGGCATATCAAGATGCGGCCAACCAACCTCCAAAGTGAGCATGTAAAGATGAAACAATTTTTAGTGTAATAGAAAAAATCCGAGCCCCAGATGGGACTTGAACCCACGACCCTCCGTGATCTAGTCGGATGCTCTAACCACTGAGCTACTGGAGACTCTATGGTGAGCAAGGGTCAATTTGTGGGCCTCGACTGGAACCGCATCGCGCGGCTACACAGCCAAGTATTGGTAAGCACCTGTGAAAACTCACCAACAGCATCACGCTGTCACATTAAGGCATATCAAGATGGGGCCAACCAACCTCCAAAGTGAGCATGTAAAGATGAAACAATTTTCAGTGTAATAGAAAAAATCCGAGCCCCAGATGAGACTTGAACCCACGACCCTCCGTGATCAAGTCGGATGCTCTAACCACTGAGCTATCGGAGACTCTATGGTGAGCAAGGGTCAATTTGTGGGCCTCGACTGGAACCGCATCGCGCGGCTACACAGCCAAGTATTGGTAAGCACCTGTGAAAACTCACTAACAGCATCACGCTGTCACATTAAGGCATATCAAGATGCGGCCAACCAACCTCCAAAGTGAGCATGTAAAGATGAAACAATTTTTAGTGTAATAGAAAAAATCCGAGCCCCAGATGGGACTTGAACCCACGACCCTCCGTGATCTAGTCGGATGCTCTAACCACTGAGCTACTGGAGACTCTATGGTGAGCAAGGGTCAATTTGTGGGCCTCGACTGGAACCGCATCGCGCGGCTACACAGCCAAGTATTGGTAAGCACCTGTGAAAACTCAC